AAAAAAAAAAAAAAAAAAAAAAAAAAAAAAAAAGCAGACAGAAAACCGCAATCCAGAAAACTCATTGAACTCAGCATCTTAAACTTGAGACACTCCATTCCGCAACAAAAGCTTGAATTGTTTCAGCCAAGATAAGCTACACAAACAATTACATCCTCCAGTAAAGTAATAACCCAAAAAGATGGACCTAAGTAACTTCAACATTAAAACAATCAATTCATTCGAATACTTCCAAAAAAAACTTTTTTTCTTAAAAACTCACTGGTTTCTTTTCTAACTGTTCAGTCTCGAAAGAGTAACCGTCCGCCAAAAGATTTTTATAAAGTGACTCTATTAATCCGAGAGAAGGGTCTTCCTTGCATTCCTGTTCCACCCACTTTTTAATAAGAGACCGAGTTTTTTCACTGACTGCACGATTACTCTACAATACCTTTCTTCACATTCATCAAATTACATACTTCAAGAAGCTCAACACTAATTCCGGCAGTAAAATTTTTCATTCATAGCACGGGATGATGCAGAACCAGAAAATTCTAAGAAAAACAAACAAAAAATGCAAGGCTAAAGAAGCTGCACAGTAACAAAAAAGAAAGCTTCTGAAATTTTAAGTTATATCTCGCAAAAAAACGAACTACTAGACATATTGCTTCCAAAGAGAGTAAACATCTAAGCGTCTGTTTGCGTAAAGCTTGTGCCCCTTCTCAGTTTGAAAAACGCTTGACTACGTTAGTAAAATTCGTTAAAAAACACATTTAAAATAGGATATTTCATGGAGTTAATCTGTCGCGCTTAAATAAAATTAAAAAAAATTAATCCTAAACTTAAAGGTCCGTCTAAATGACAAAAAAAATCCAAAATACTTTAGTTACAGGCGAATATTTTACTGATAACAGAATATTATTTCACACTTGAAATGAAGTTAAAAGAAAATAACAGCGATGCAATTAACCTAGAAGCAGCAACGGAGAACAGGAATGTGTTAATTTCAATCAGAAGGGTCTTTTAATACAAATTTAAGAAATCAACGAACACTAGTAAAAACCTCTTTTTCCCAAAACCAAAATGTCACCTGAAAAACTCAAAACCAGTTTACCATCCAATTGTTCGTAGAAAAGTTTAAAAATAAAATCGACCAACAGAACGCAGCATACAAGGAAATAAATCCAAAAAAAGAATTGCTTTATAAAAAGTCAAAAAAAAAAAAAAAACAACTACAACAATGAAACATTTTACTAAACAGTCCTCTAACGCAAAGCATAATCTGACCTGCACACAAAGAATAATGAACGACCAACTCGGTAAAAGCAACGGTCAAATAAATTTGAATTCTATAATCCTGAAAGTATATTAAAGGAAACCTGAGTTGCCTTGTATCCAAGCTCGGATGAAAATTCCCTGGAAGAAACTTCCTGGCGGAAAGCCTGTCCACAGTTACACCATAAAGCATCAAGTACACTCAGAGCTAGCAAAACTACATGAGGGTCGCGGTGATTTAGTCGTTTTTTCAAAGACAGTAAGCATAACTTAGGACCTAGAACAAGGTTACTCAGTTCCTTAAACGTTCACCGTTTCAAATGTTGATTTAAAAAAAAAACCACGAGTATAAGATATATGGTGCAACCTTTGGGGTCCGCTAAAACGCGATCAACTATATCAAATATTAACCGCCAATTCTCGTCACTGCATGTTTCACTAGTGGCTTTCGCGACAACTTCGTCATACGGCGACTGCGTTTCGCCAAAAAAAGGCATTTCTAAAAAACGATGAAGTAAGAAAGGATCATTAGAGTTTCAGCTACAAAAAAAGTTCTATAGTTGAGAGCGGTCGATAGTACTCAACAAACGATTTGAAACAAAAGCAGGCTGGAGGAGTGACTGAAAAACAGAAGGAAAATTGCGAGGTAAAAAAGTGGACAGTTTACTGTGAACTGATTATGAAAAATACTGTAAACAGAGAATAAATCAACTATTTTCACGTGACTTTCACGCTAATACGCCTTAACTAAAACTTTAAAAACTCCTCACATTTTCAGTAAACCTTTATCATCCGTAACCATTCGTTTCAGGCAGATACATTACAGGTAAAAAGGACAACCGTAGCAAACAAAAGATCATTACTTACGCATTACTTACAAGCTTTGGAACTGGCATCGGGCAACGCTTAGATTCAGTAAAGTGAGCATACAATTGAAAGTTCAAGATATTTAAACACAATGGATGATGAACGAAAAAACGGCTATGGAACTGATAGTAAAACAAAACGACATATTGTTAGTAAGAGGTGTGACAAACTTACTAAGTTTGGTGAAAGACTTTGACATTATCTAACGATCCAAAAACTTGTTTTCACAAAAGAGCAATGGAATGCAGACAGAAACCTTAAATCGCTTTCTCACTGCGTTATTGGACAAGTGCCAAATTCGCACGTTTCTATCTTTGATCTTACTAAGGATGCTAAACCAATTACAATGCGGTTGTTCGTCGTTCGTTTAGCTTTAATTTTATATTTGGATTCAGTCGGTTATATTCCAATATATGCTTCTAAAAGCTTGGATACAAATTCAGATATAAAGTGTGTGGTTTTGAAACTTACATTAGCTGTACAACGAAAGTTTACAAGACAAACGGATGTGACTATGTAACTATACATTAAAAAAACTGCAAGGAAAGATGCCTCTTTTGTGAATTGGTTATTATTTGGGTTTTTTCTTCTCTTGTAACCAACCATGATAATGGTCTGGATTTGCGTGACATTTTGAACAGTATGTCAGGAAACGTTCTTAGGACGCCGGTAATTTGAATACTTTCTAGTTCCCAATAATAGTTTTTCCCTTTCGTGCGCCCGTTGGAAATGTAGTAGTCGTTTTGTCGTCCAGCATAAACTGGTAATGGTGCCGGTCAGTCTTTTCCGACCTGCGCATGCAATGATTCATATCTTCTTCTTCCGTTTGAAACTTGTTATCAGTGTAGTTCAAGTTTTGCCGTTTCCACATTTGTGACGGATACTCTACAGTCGCTTATTATTACCATATGTAACGACGATATCATTAGTTGGATGTATTTCCACCTCTCCATGGCAGCATTGTTTTGTAAGCAATTACTTCTGCACCAATTGTCACTAGTTTTTTCACGGCTGGCTGCTTGAGATGAGTTGGATTTCTTTCGCAGTTTCCGGGATTGTTAAATCAGCTGAAGAAATTTCATCGTTTTTCGACCCGACCTAATTTTTCCGTGAGATAC